GCAGCTATGAGGTGGATATCTGATATGGAGGGGTGCTTCTTCACTTGCTCATCCCCTGAGCAATTTGAAGGTTCGGTTCGCGCTGAACCAGCTTCGCTTGGGAGCGAAGGACTGGTGGAAGTTTGTGACGGCGCACTTCACGCCTACTGAGCTTTCGGCAGTGACCTGGGAGAGGTTCACTACCATGTTCCGAGATGAGTACGTTCCCCAGGTGGAGAGGGAGCGTCTGGAACAGGAGTTTCTGACCCTCAAGCAGGGTACTGAGTCAGTTACAGCGATCACAGGATGTTTCATGAGAGGGCGATGTTCTGCCCTGAGCACGTGTCCACTGAGCAGGCACGTATGAGCCGCTACCTGAGCATTTTGAGACGGGATATTCGGGAGTTCGCTGCGAACTCCTCGTATCGGACATTTGCTGAGCTTCAGGAAATGCCCGGAAGAGGGAGATTGAGCTTGAGACTCAGGCCAGGGAGGAGGCGGAGTCTCTAGGGAGGGATCGGCGGCCGGCACAGCTTCAGCCGGCAGCCAAGCGGGCCAAGCCCGCTGATCCCAAACCCGGGAGCCAGAAGGGCCGCACTTGTGGGAAGTGCGGCAAGGGTCACGATGGAGTCTGTCGAGCAGGGTCTTGCTACAAATGTGGCAAGGAGGGGCATATGGCCAAGGACTGCCCCAAGGGGTTTGCAGTGTGTTTTCACTGCAACCAGACCGGACACCGGAAGGCGGAGTGTCCGCTGCTGCGTGGAGCGTCTCAGGGATCTGCTCCCGCCGCCATCAGAGCTACAGAGAGTCGGCCCGTGAAGGCCGAGGCACCGAGAGCTCGAGGGAGAGCCTTTCAGCTGACTGCGGAAGAGGTCCGCGCTGCACCCGACGTTGTGGCTGGTACGTTTCCTTTATATTTATTTTTGGTGTTGAGATATTATGCTATGCATAGGTACCTTCCTTGTGAACTCTGTGCCTGCTTTAGTGTTATTTGACTCGGGTGCGAGTCGGTCTTTTGTATCTTTGGCCTTTAGTCAGCATATCAGTGTTAGTCGTGAGGCATTGAGTCGGCCTCTGCGGGTTTCCATAGCCGCCGACAGAGTGATTTGTGCCACGGAGGTCCTCCGGGGATGTGTGTTAGAGATTTTTGGGGTTGAGTTTCCGATCGATCTGGTTCCTATTGCGATGGGTGATGTCTGTGTCATAGTGGGCATGGACTGGTTGAGCCGATTCGGCGCGGTTATCGACTGCGAGCGTCAGCTGGTGACCATACGAGATCCTAGTGGGGGAGTTCTTTCGGTATACGGCGAGGGTACACGTTCTGGATCAGCCTTTTGTTCGGCCGCTAGGGCGAGGCAGTGTTTACAGCAGGGCTGTAAGGGTTTCGTGGCGTATGTGATGGATACGCGAGTGATCTCCGAGAGACCGAGTTCAGTGGATGAAGTTCCGGTGGTGCGTGAGTTTCCAGATGTTTTTCCCGAAGAGTTACCAGGTGTGCCTCCCGTGAGGCAAGTGGAGTTCGGTATCGATTTGGTTCCGGGAGCCGCGCCTATCGCTAAGGTGCCTTATCGCCTTGCACCTCCAGAGATGCAAGAGTTATCCTCGCAGCTTCAGGAGCTGCTGGGGAAGGGGTTTATTCGGCCGAGTAGCTCGCCATGGGGAGCACCCATTCTGTTTGTGAAGAAGAAGGACGGCTCGCATCGAATGTGTATTGATTACCGAGAATTGAATAAGCTGACGGTCAAGAACCGTTACCCGTTGCCGAGGATCGACGATTTATTCGATCAGTTGCAGGGAGCATCTTGGTTCTCCAAGATCGATTTGAGGTCGGGCTATCATCAGGTGAGAGTGCGGGGAGGACGTCCAGAAGACAGCATTCAGGACGCGTTATGGGCATTATGAGTTTGTGGTGATGCCTTTTGGGCTCACCAATGCCCCGTGTGTTCATGGACCTCATGAACAGGGTATGCAGACCGATGTTGGATCGGTCGGTGATTGTGTTTATCGATGATATTCTGGTATATTCGAGATCTAGAGAGCAATGAGGAGCATTTGAGGGAGGTTCTTGGAGTTTTGAGATCGGAGAAACTTTATGCAAAGTTTTCCAAGTGCGATTTCTGGTTGCGGGAGGTCCAGTTTCTGGGGCACCTCGTTAATCAGAAAGGGATATTGGTCGATCCGGCCAAGGTTGACGCGGTGATGAGGTGGGAGGTGCCAAAGTCACCTTCTGAGATCAGGAGCTTCCTTGGGCTGGCAGGGTACTATCGGAGGTTTATCAAGGATTTCTCCAAGATTGCAGTGCCACTCACCAGATTGACCCGGAAGGGTGTTACATTTTTATGGGGTCCCGAGCAGCAGACCTCCTTTGAGACGCTTCGCCAAAGGTTGTGCGAAGCTCCGGTATTAGCTCTTCCGGAAGGGATGGAAGATTTTGTGGTATTCTGTGATGCATCGATTTTAGGGCTGGGAGCGGTGCTGATGCAGAAGGGACATGTGATAGCATATGCATCGAGGCAGTTGAAGCCTCATGAGACGAGATATCCCACACATGATTTAGAGCTGGGGGCAGTGGTGTTCGCTCTCAAGATTTGGCGGCACTACTTGTATGGGGTTCGTTGTACGATATACACGGACCATAAGAGCTTGAAGTACTTGATGGATCAGCCTAACCTAAATATGCGGCAGAGGAGGTGGTTAGATGTAGTCAAGGATTATGATTGCGAGATCTTGTATCACCCGGGCAAGGCTAATGTGGTAGCCGACGCATTGAGTCGCAGGGCGGAGAGTACTCCACTGCGAAATGTATGTTTGAGATTGACCGTGATAGCTCCAGTTCTGGACGCCATTCGTGGGGCACAGGCCGAGGCTGTGCATCCGGAAATGCAGAAGAGAGAACGGGTCGTTGGGTTGGTTTCTGAGTTCGTGTCGGATAGTCGAGGGCTTATGACTTTTCAGGGCCGGATTTGGGTACCGTTTGTGGGCGGTACGCGTACTACATTGATGGAGGAGCTCATAGATCGAAATTTTCGATCCATCCCGGGGCTACAAAAATGTATTTGGATTTGAGGAAAGAGTATTGGTGGCCTTGTATGAAGAGGGACGTCGCATGGTTTGTCGAGAGGTGTTTGACCTGTCGAAGGGTGAAGGCCGAGCACCAGAGACCGCATGGCAAGTTGCAGCCATTGGAGGTTCCCGAGTGGAAGTGGGAACAGATCACTATGGATTTCATCACCAAATTGCGAGGACTGCCAGAGGAGTCGATGCAATTTGGGTGATTGTGGATAGGTTGACGAAGAGCGCTCACTTTCTTGCCATCAGTGAGAGTTCTTCGGCGGAGAAGTTGGCGGAGATTTATGTGAGGGAAGTAGTATCTCGGCATGGGGTGCCGATCTCGATTGTTTCGGACCGTGATGTGCGCTTCACTTCCCGATTCTGGAAGAAATTTCATGAGGAGTTGGGTACTAAGCTGCATTTTAGTACCGCATACCACCCCCAGACAGACGGCCAGAGTGAGCGGACGATTCAGACGCTTGAGGACATGCTTCGAGCATGTGTATTGGATTTTGGGGGTAGCTGGGATACGTATTTACCCTTGGCAGAGTTTTCCTACAATAACAGCCATCATTCGAGCATCGGTATGCCGCCCTTTGAGCTGTTGTATGGTAGGAGGTGTCGGACTCCCATTTGTTGGGGAGAGGTTGGGCAGAGAGTGATGGGCAGTACAGAGATCGTGATTCAGACGACAGCAGATACAGCAGGTCAGACAGAGGTTATTGACCGCCCAGAGCCGACAAAAGAGTTATGCGGACAGACGCCGGTCCGAGCTTGAATTTCAGGTCGGCGACTTCGTTCTCCTGAAGGTTTCTCCTTGGAAAGGGGTGATCCGGTTCAGGAAGAGGGGCAAGTTGGGGCCCCGGTTTATAGGTCCATTTCGTGTGATTGCAAGGGTAGGCCGGGTAGCCTATCGGTTGGAGTTGCCAGCAGAGTTGGGACAGATTCACAACACTTTTCATGTATCGCAGTTGAGGAAGTGTATAGCCGATGAATCGGCAGTGGTTCCGTTAGAGGATATTCAGGTAGATGCAAGCCTGAATTATGCCGAGAGACCAGTGGCCATCAGGGATCGGAAGATCAAGGTTTTGAGAAACAAGGAGGTACCTCTGGTGTTGGTTCAGTGGCAACATCGGAGGGGATCAGAGATGACCTGGGAGCCAGAGCGTATGATGCAGGAGCAGCACCCGGAGCTGTTTTTAGAGCGAGACTTCGAGGGCGAAGTCTAGTCCAAGTGGGGGAGAGTTGTAACAGCCGGATTTTATCAGGTATCTTGTTAGTTGTATTTTGTTGTTTTGTGAGGGGGACTCGGCGAGTTGGAGCTCAGACTCGCCGAGTAGGGACGCGGATTTGGATGCAGGATCGCGCCTGGACTCGACGAGTCTAGGATATGGACTCGGCGAGTCAGCGCTGTGTAATGAAACCCTATTATTTCGGGTTTGAGACTTATTTAAAGGGCCTAATGGCCGTCATTTGTGCTCACCAGCCCCTTGAGTGAAACCCTAATCGAGTGTGAGCATTGGAGCTAAGTAAGAGGCCATTATTGACCTTGGAGGTGCCATTGTTGCAAGGAAAGGAGAAGAGCTAGCCAAGGGAAAGCAAGAAGGAGCCATTTCTGTGGGTTTGGAGTCCAGAGCATCACTTTTGTGGTAATAAATCCGAGTTACCTTCTTGTTGTTATTGCTTATCTAGATTTAGGGTTTGTTGAACCCTTTTATGGCAAGATTTGGTGCTCTTTTGGTCCCTTATGAGGTTGGAACCATAGATCTGGACCCTTAGAGGTCCAGAGTGTCCCTTTGCCCAAGATTTTTGGGGATCAATGGAGGCTTTGGATTGGAATCCTCATGCCTTGGGTCAAAAACGCCATTATTGAGTTATAAGGTGTGTTATGAGCAACAAGATAGGAACTTTACATGGTGAATCAGTCGAGGGAGGCCAGATCTATAGTTTTTGGAAGCAGATCTGACCTTAGAAGCGAGTTGGAGTGGTTGCATGGCATGGACTCGCCGAGTCTGTTCATCCGACTCGGCGAGTAGCTTGAAGATTGCCTTGGGACTGCTCAGCGAGTGGCCCAATCGAGTCATGGGTAGACTCAACGAGTCAGGGTGAGTCGGAGAGGGATGACGAGTGGACTGAGTCAAACCTGGACTCGCCGAGTTGTCCTTGAGACTCGGCGAGTTGAGTCGGGGTGGCCCCGCGATTCATTCAGGTGAAACTCGTCGAGTAAAGGGGGGGATACTCAAGGTGTAGTAAGAGGATTTCAGAGGGTGGTGAAAACGTCTAGACTCGCCGAGTCGCCTTGGTACTCGCCGAGTCCGGTCAGAGTTGACCGTTGACTGTTGACCAGAGTTGACCTGTGTTGACTCCTTATAAATAGTCAACCTTAGAGATACAAAGTGTTAATTAGAAGCATATAATGTTATAGGAGGATTAGAGCTCGGAGGATCGAGCACGAGGGATTTCCAGGATTCGTGAGATACCGAGATACGCGAGGTGAGTCTTCTCACTATACTATATTACCTTGAGTAGGTAACCTGAGTTATGTGATAGAGTATTGTATGTTATGCATGTTATGTGTTGTGCTGCATTATTTCTATGTGATTTATGTAGTGCATGTTTATCAGAGCTAGAACCTGAGGGTTCACAGAGTTTGGGTGCACGGACCCACAGAGTTATAGCCTCGAGTGGCTAATATGTGTTATATGTGGTATTTTGGGGAACTCACTAAGCCTTGTGCTTACAGTGTTTGATGTTATTGTTTCAGGTACTAGTGACGATCGCGGGAAGGCGCCGGCTTGATCCGTACACACACACACTCAGAGTTTTACATTGTGATCTTGGGATCTTGTATTGACCTATTTTGGATAATTAATATGGTTGTTTGATGAATATTGATGGAATTATGTTTTATAAAAATTGAAAATTTTGTTTTGAAATTTACGGTGTTACAGAAGCATTCTTGTGATCGAGCTGAAAGAAACAAAGAACTCGCAGCAATGGCACAATCGGAACCTAATGGACTGTTTGCGATGGTGGAACTCAACTACCAAGGGGTATTTAATCGAAATCCTTCCTCTTACACTGGTGGTGTTAAAACCATCTTCAATTATGTTGACTTTTCTTCTATGACTTATTCTGAGTTTGTGACCTTCTGCGAACGTTTCATGCATGAAGAGTGTAAAAAGTTTTACTACTGTGAACCAGACATGTCCTTCATGAAGGGCTTAATCCCATTTCAGATGATGTGGAATATTCTGCTTTTATTTTTGATGCTTATGGAACAGATGGTGTAATTTCGGTTTATGTGGATCATATTGGGGTTGGTGTTGATGGGTGGCATGATGATGAAGATAATGATGATGATGAACATGAGTCTTGTATTGATGGTGAAAATGAAGACAACATAGATGAACTTAGAAATGTTGCCTTTGAATTTAATGAGGATGTAGTGCATATGAATAGGACATCAAATGATCCTTTCTTGAGTAAGCTATGTGTTGATGATGAGGATGCAAACAACATTGTAGATGATGACAATGGGAGAGAAGTTGAAGTTAACATACAAGCTCATTCCATATTTAATGAGCTATTACACTGGAAAAAACAAAAACCAATTCTAGGGATGAGATTTAAGGGTCCAGGGCAAGTAAAATCAATGTTGTGTAACTATGCTGTAGCTAATGGATATCAATTGTGTTTTGAAAAAAATGATAGGACAAGACTTTTGGTGAGGTGTAGCAAAGGTGCTTGCACATTTAGATTATGGGCTTCCTGGATGAGTGATGAAGAGAGTTTCCAAATCAAGTCACTAAAAGCTTGATCATAATTGTGCTAGGAACTTCAAGTTTGGATCATTGGTGACATATGCATGGATTGGGAGTCACTATACCAAAGAGATTGTAGAAAGTCAGAAAATAAGTGTAAGGAAGCTTAGGTTAAAGGTAATGGCCAAGTTTGGTATCCAAGTTAGTATGGGGCAATGTAGAAGAGCAAAGAAGTATGCACTGAAACTTGTTGAAGGAAACCTTGTTGAACATTATGGTAAGCTATGGTCATATGGTCATGAGATTTTAAGGACAAATCCTGGGTCAACTGTGAAACTAGATATGGAGGATGGGCCAGATGGAAAGAAATATTTTAGCAAGTTCTATTGTTGTTTTCAAGGAGTTAAACAAGGTTGGATTGAAGGGTGTAGAAGGGTAATTGGTCTAGATGGATGTTTTCTTAAAGGTGTTTGTAAGGGAGAATTGCTCTGTGCTATTGGGTGGGATGCAAATGACAAGATATATCCTATTGCTTGGGTAGTGGTTAATGTGGAGAACAAGCAGAATTGGAAGTGGTTTCTAGAGCTTCTCATTGATGATCTACACTTGAATTTAGGCAATGGTTTCAGTTTAATGTCAGACCAACATAAGGTTAGTATTTTACATAGTAATGCATTTATGTTAATTTTAGACTATCTGAATTTAACCTTTTTACTAATACAGGGTTTGATAGAGGCTGTTAAAGAGTTGCTGCCATATGTAGAGCACAGGCAGTGTGCTAGACATATTTGCCAGAATTTGCAGAAGAGATTTACTGGTGCCATATATCATACCTTGTTTTGGAGAGCATCTAAAGCCACAACTGAGCATGCTTTTAAAGTTGTGATGAAAGAAATTGAGACATTGAACCAGAAGCCCATCAATATCTCATGGAGAAAGATCCTAAAACATGGTCTAGAGCTTTTTTCAAACTGGAAGGTGTTGTGATGCAGTTGAAAATGGGTTCTCAGAAAGTTTTAATGCTGTAATAGTAGATGCTAGGAAGAAGCCCATAATAACCATGTTAGAGGAGATAAGATTATACATGATGGACAGAATCTACAACATGAAATTAAAGGGACAACAATGTGGAAATCATATTTGTCCAGAGATAAGGGATAAGGTGAATTTGCTTAAAAAAGCTCAAAGGCATTATCAGGTACTACCAAGTGGATTAAACCAGTTTGAGGTAAGGGGAGCAATAGATGCATATGAGGTGGACTTAGAAAGAAAAACATGCTCATGTAGGTTGTGGCAATTGAATGGATATGGATGTGCTCATTCTGTAGCTAGCATATCCTTTCTTAATAGGGATGTAGAAGCCTATGTAGACAACATGTTTAGCACAACCACATTTAGAAAGGCATACAATTACAGAATTGCTCCCATGAATAGCAGTGACATGTGGCCAGAGACAAACTATACTCCACCATTGCCTCCTATTAATAGAAGGATGCCTGGTAGGCCAACTACTAAGAGGAAGAAATCCACTACAGAGAATACAGGAACACACAGGGTTTCTAAGGCTGGAAAGAAAATCAGATGTAGTATTTGCAAGGAGATAGGTCACAACAAGGCCACTTGTCCACAGAGAAGGCCCCAAAAGTTAAATGTGAAGAAACAGAAGAAACAAAAAGTATGTGTGAACCAAAATGCAGGACAGGTAAAACAATTTAAAATATAAGATTAATTAGATATAATTTGTTACTAACATAATTATATCATGCCATGTAGGGGTAGTACAAGTGAACCACAACAACATGAAGAGGTTGAAATGACTCCAATTGAGATGGATACTACTCAAAATGATATGCAAGTTGCTCCTACTGATGTTGAATCTAGTAGTGCATGGGATTTTATTCAATATGTGCAATTCACTCCACTTATAAGTTATGAAGGTGATGAGGGTGTTATGGGTGAGGAAGCTGATGTGGTTGAGGAAGCTGTTGTGGTTGAGCAAGTTGTTCAAGATGAGGAGGCTGAGGAGGTTGATCCTGTTATCCAAGTTGATAATGTAACTGTTTAGGAGGTTGATGAGGTTAATCCTAATGCCCAAGTGGATAATGGTAATGTTCAGGAGGTTGCTCCTGTTAACCAAGTTCAGCAGGTTTGTGTTAGGCCAATTTCAGATATTTTGAAGAGGATAAGAAGAAGAAAGTCAGAGAGAAAACTGAAGCTGAAATTAGGCAAAACAATTGGTGGTGTTGATGATCCAGGAAATTCGAAGGGAAAAGCTCTTGTAATTGATTAGTGTTTATTGTAATTTGTTTTTAAAGTTTATGTAATGGGATGATGATAAATTGGATTTTAAGTTTATGTAATAGGATGATGTTAATATATATTTAAAGTTTATGTAATAGGATGTTGGTAATTTATATTTAAGTATGTGTGACATTAAAGGGTATTTTGGTCATTTAAGTATGTATGAAAGAAAAAGGGTAATTTGGTCATTTAAGTATTTATGACAGAAAAGGGTAATTTGGTCATTTATTTATTGATGACAAATAAGGGTATGTAGGTAATTCATTTATGTATGCAAGAAAATGGGTAATTTGGTCATTCCGTATTTATGACAGAAAAGGGTAATTTGGTCATTTATTTATTGATGACAGATAAGGGTATGTAGGTAATTCATTTATGTATGCAAGAAAAAGGATAATTTGGTCATTTAAGTATGTATGACAGAAAAGGGTAATTTGGTCATTCATTTATGTATGTAAAAAAAGGGTAATTTGGTCATTTAATTATGTATGATAGAAAAGGGTATGTTGGTCATTTATTTATGTATGCAAGAAAAGGGTATGTTGGTCATTTATTTATGTATGACATGAAGTATGAGGTATGTTACCATTTTAAGTAAAATCATAACATTTGACTTTGAATATTTATGCATGGAAAAAATTGGAATAATGTGCATGCATGGGGATGTTTTATATGGCCCCGGATTTGGTTTTTTAATGGCTTCACGGGTCCCATTTTTTCATTATTAAAATGGTCCCCATTCACATAGTGTACTTCCACATGGACCACTTCCTAATTAAATATATTTGTTGGGAATATAGACCATGCATATGTTTGATAAACATCATCTGATTATACAAAATGCCCTATAATTGGGACTTTGAATATTTTTTTACATTACTTATCATATGCCCTTTCATTAGGGACTTACCACCTTACAACATCAACACATTAAGGTTGATAACCCCAACTTATAACTAAAACCAGCTTCAATACATACAAAATGCCCTTATGGAACTGACTTTCTAGTCTGCCTTTACAAAAAATACAAGGGATCCCAAAAAAACAAAAGCTTACCCTAACCAACCAAACTAACTACATTGACCCCCCTAACTTCAAAACACATAGGCCAAGCAACCAACAACAGGGCAACTATCATCCTGTACCTGCCTATTGCCTTCATTGCATCATGAACTTCTTTCTCACTCTTTGCCACCTTATACTGCTCCTGTGACAACAAAACTCCACTTCAGCAATCCTTCTCCTCAAATTGTTCATCTCAGACATTTCATCTTTGGCATCCAGTTTCTGCTTCAGAGAATATAGCAGGTTTTGTAGTACCCGTTTGCCTGTTCTTCATCTTTCCATTCAAAGAAGCTACATTTCCTCAACCTAGTCTATAAAAAGACAATAAAATTAGGGTTTGACTGACAATCACAAATCAACTACCTTTAATGTACCAGCGAAATGGGTTTTATTCACAGTGATCGTCAAGAAGGAAATAAAATTAGGGTTTTTAACAGATGAAACAAAATACAAATACACCATTGTCGTTTTTACAGATAGAAACAATACATCAAACCATAAAATACTAACTTATCAAAATCAAGAGAATCGGGACCTACCATACTGTTTTGACAATTCCAGAATCGCCTCCCAGGGTTTGTTATCTTCCAACAGGTTCGTTCTTTAGCTGGAACGACACAATCACAAACCTTTACCCCTTCTTGCGACTGAACATGAGTGACTTGTAGCTGATTCCTTGACGTCGATGAGCTCGAAGACATTCTTCTTCAGGATGGAAATAGTCGGGGAGGGAGAAGTCTTTGACTTTTCAGAGAAGGGTAAGTAAAGATTGAAAGGAGGTCCAAATGAGGGTTTCAATTAATAAGCCTGTATCAACAACTGGACCACGTAAGCTTATTGGACACATCAGCATGCCACATAAGCATTGTAACCGGGAAACCTTCTAAAATGGTGTAATTAAAAGGTCAGTTACGAGTTTAATGGTCTAATGTACCAAAAAAAACTTTAAGGACCAAATTAGCCAAATGTTAAAAGTTCCATGTGCTACAGTGATATTATCCCTTATATTTTTTTATAAAAAATAATGTAATGCACTTTATTGACCAAACAAATCATGATTCCAAGGGTTTGTTTTAGATATGGATTTATGAATTCAACGCCAATGCAAGAAATTTGTCTCCAATCGAGATCACTTCTTTAGGAATAGTACTCATATTTTTAAAACCTAACTTTATAGTCAAAATAAATTGTGACTTTGCTGACTTAAATGTTACCCCCTTCATTTGAAAAATGTTACATTTTTTTATTTCATTGTGAAAAAAAATATATATTGAGGATATAATAGTCAATTAATAAAAATAAGAATTTAAAATGATTATAAAATATTTAAAAGTGTTAAATATAAGGATTTGGGCAATTTTGATATTTTGAAAGCTTATGAAAGGTATTTATGATATTTATAAATTAGGTTAGGAAAATACGATATTTCGATGTTTGAGAAAGGCATATACCGAATTATCCCGTCTACTTGTCTAAAGTATCAACCAAGCAAAAAATGAAATCACATAAACCTGTCATGTAGAGTCTTTGATAGTTGTACTAAATCGGCTTGTTTTAACAAACTATACAAGGACCAAACGTGTAATTTTGTCTAAAATATATTAATTTAAATACAAACTACACTTGGTGGAAGACTTCAACATGTTTCTTTATCCATTAAATATTTAAATGTAGCAAAATTGACAATCACGAACGTGGATGTAAACATCACACCAACTTCTTTGACTGTGTCTCAGTTTACTTAGATACTTTTTAAAATAACAATTCACAAACCAAGGTATTAGATGGTTATGTTTGTTTCTTTCACAGATATATTTTAAAATCACAAATCAAGATTTTTACTGCCTCATCAACTTTCTTTTTAAATGCAGTTCCGATCATAAATCGTTGTATTGGTTAAGCATAAATGCATAATCGGTGACAATCTTAATTGTTTTATATGAGAATAAGTTAATTTGAATACTAATTTATTGATAATAAAGATAAAAAGCGCCACAAATATTTGTATTTTGGAGAGTGAAAACATAAAAGTCCTTTTCGGGGTCGAATCCATATATTTCATAAAACAGAGTGAAGCAAACCATAAAATAGCTTAATTTATATTAAGGTGTTGTTTGGTTAGTTGGAATACCTATGAAATTTTGGGAAATTTGAATCTAATTCCTCCGGTTTCCTAGGTTTGGTTGTATGGGTGAACATTTTGACCGAACCGATACCGGAACCGATTTAGGAGGAACGTAAAGACAGCAGACCAAACATCATTCATTACGTGTGGTACAAGTCGATGAAGCGTATGGTACATACATTGCAGTGGGTCGGTACAACATTCATTGTGTATGGTACAATTTGGGACCAAACTAGTCCAATACTCGAAAGCGTTTAAAAAACAGAATCAGAAACTTGACAATCCAAGAACCGATAACCAACTTGACTACATAAAATGGATATTGGTCCAGGTTCAAGGTCCGGTCAGGATGCCCATCCCAATTTGATTTAACATTTGAGTAGGAAATTAAATTCTTAAATGAGATAAACTTTCTATTGGGGGTCCTTCTATTCACAGTATAAAGAAATTAATTAAAATACTTTTTATTATAAACCAAAAATTATCTTTGGAGCAAATTGTAAGAGATTTTTTATTATCTAGGAGGTCGGGAGTTGGATGGTGTTCCATTTTATTTGACAACTACGTGGAATTACCCGGATCCAACCAATTTGCCCAACATAACGGCCCTAAATCCATCTCATTATAATCACTCCTCTTCACCGATGATACTTGCTAACGATGGTTCAACGCAACAACCCACCACCTACGATTTTTTAATGTATCGGTCACGGTGGAGGCTGGAATGGTTATTGTGGCCGAGGAGGCAAAACCTGTGGCTGCTTTGGTGGTGGACAACCCTGATACCTTGTGGGTGGGTGTTCGATTGGTTCCTCTACCTAGTCCGCAGCAACAACGGTCGGGCCTATTGCCAAGCCCTCAAACAAGAGCCCAGCTACAACAGGGCAACAATATTTAGCAGCCCATCAACATTGCAGACCTCTTCCAACAGGCCTGCAACAGAATCATTTTTGGCCCGTCTGCCACCTCCAGCCCACAACAGCAAGCCTACATAAGCACACCTCAAGCCCAATAGACACCATGGATCAATCCATCAACGCATAATGCTGCCCAGCAGCCCACTACTATTCCGCAAGTGTTTCACACAAATGGCATCGTCGTCGTTGACGTCTCCGGTAATGGAGGAGTAGCTAACGTTGAATGTGAAATGGAGCGGAAAGGAATACACCGTCAGAATGTGCGCCGACGACTCCGTCGGTGAACTAAAACAATGCAAATGCCAACTGACCAACGTACTCCCCAAACGTCAAAAACTTGTTTACCTTAAAATTGGATCTGAACTCGCAGATAATTCAACCCTTCTCTCCGGTCTACCCATCAAATCTTCTCCCAAAATGACAACGATCGGTACTGTTGAAGATCATATAATCGTGGATGAAGCTGATGCTCCAGAGATTGTTGCTGATTTTGCAATCGGAGACATTAAAGACAAAGAGGTCAACAACCAGAAACTAAGGAGACGTGTTGATCAATACAAGATTGAATTACGAAATCCATGTCGAAAGGGGAAGAAGCTTCTTTGAACATCGGTCAACAGCAGAAAACCCGCTTGAACTCATGATCCCTTATCTTCATGAGTTCTTATCAGTCGTTTATGCAGAGTATGACATCATCATATGGTCTTCAACAAGCATGAAATGGGTTGAATTGAAAATGGGACAGCTGGGAGTACCGTTTTGATGAAATCGTATAATTTTCCCCTGAACTATAACTTTCATTAATACATAGATAATAAGACGTTAACATTCAAGAGGTTCCTAAAAATTCCGGAATTTAGGAAAGCTGTAGAGGACAAAGAGGAAACACACACACACACACACAAAAAGTTCAAATCAGAGAGCATAAAAGTAATGAGTGTTATTTTGTAGAAGAGGTGGTGGAGAATCATGCAAGTGACATGAGAAAGTGGAGGATTTGAGTAAAGGTTAGCAAAATGGAAAGGCTGAAGAATGTTATTGTTTTTGGATGAGAAACATGCATAGGCAATTAAGGTATTCTCATTCCATCTTACTTTACCTGAATTATGAGTTGATTATATGTAATACTTGAACATCTAATCTATTTTCTTTAGGGTTGCTTAACACTTAACAGGATCATCATTTTGAACTTATGAGACACAAGCTGACTTTGTTTTACCAATCAGTTATTGGCAAATGAATGTGGTATCCAACTATCCATTGTAACCATAAAAACTTCCAACTAAATTTACCCCTATTCTGAAGTATAGCATTCAATGTGACCCCTATAATAAAGTTTATTTCTTGGAATGTTTTGTTTATGCAAAAATTGCAGATTTTAGAGGCATTGTTTCCAAAGGGTATAATAGTCCCTTCATCTTTCGAGACTTTGGGCCATATCATCCACTTAAACTTGAGGGATCAACATCTCCCATAGAAGAATCTTATAGCAAAATTGTTTTGGACAAAAACAAGCCAAAAATACAAATAGTTGTCAACATGATTGATTCTATCTATAATGACTTTAGAACCATGCCACTAGAATTTTTGGCTGGAAATCATTCTCTTGTGACAAGATTAGTATAAATTGGACTCAGTGATATCAATAGCGAGCATAGCGACCGCTATTGTGTTTTGCGAGGCAAGGCGTTCAAGGGTCGCTATGGGCTCAATAGCGACTTCATAGCGACGTTCTTGATTTTTTATAATACGATATCTATAGACCCATTTTAGGGTTTTTTTTAGTTGACTAAGTCAAAGAAGGTTCATACGCTCTTCTCTCGACCCAGCCTCCCTTCCGCTTCTTCAACTATTGCCAGCTCCTTCCTTTCTTCCTGCGGTTTCTCTTGCAATCAAAGACTAATAGTCTTTTTTGGTAGTATGCATGTTTTAGAACTTATTTGAGTTAATAGTCTTGGGGTTTTTAGCTTATTTATTATTTATAATTGCTAATTAGGTGAAGTAAAAGTAGTATAAATTTTTTAATAGGTATTCTCTAAAAATGAAATAGTCGTCGCTATTTCATCACTATCGCGGCATAGCTTATAGGTAGGTTGTCGCTATGACCTCGCTATCGCCATCGATAACACTGATTGGACTTCATTTTCATGTTCATTTGGAAACAGTATAAGTTTTCTTTCTAAAAACTGATCAATAAACAATTGGATCGTTAAATTTAACCACTCAACTTTTAAAATTTTAAATGACTATTTTATCTTTGGACTGAAACTTGGAAAATCAATATACCATAGATATCAATTTTACAAATTTATCTTATCTTTTAATCAAAGGTTATAACTTTAGTGTAAATATACAAAGATGATCCCTGTTCTTTTTTATTTTTACTCAAAGGTTATAACTGAATGAACTAACAGATAATTAAAATCATAGTTGAATTACATACGTTGTCAAACTGGAGGAGTTTGATTGATTGAGAATTGAGATCAGGTGATGGGGTTTTAAATATTTCATGAATTTTTTGTTATTATCTATGTTATTATAAATTGTTAACCAAGTAACGTACCCAAGTTTATAACCTAGTATATAATATACATGACTTTCATACTATCACAACCCCGAATCTAAGGTTGTTACTACTTACCAATAGCTTACATCATAAGAGTCTATGATCATGCCTTCATAAATGGAAAACTTTAACAAACCAACTGTTACTAAGTAATAAATCAAAAATATTACACTGAAACTCTACTCAAACACAATCCTATACGTACTATACACATACTACATGGTAAAACATACAGAAATCCCATGAAGGTCTCCAACAACTTCTCCATACCCTTTGAAATTTAAGCTATGATACCTCCTGAGACACATGTTAAGTTAAGTTCATTGCAAGTAAGTTCACAATTTTCTATCTATAGAAAATATTTAATAGTAATATGAGCATCTCAAAAACCGTGGTTATATTATTGATTACATACAACCTACTTTAAGCATGTAGTATCTCAAATAACAATTTTCTCGTAGATAATATTATGATGAACTTGTTATAAACAATAACCATGCTTAAACATAGACTGGCATCACATAATTAACTACTGGACTCGACACATAACTTATCCTGGCTACAATTGAAAGATGTATTCATTAATATTTTTAAGTTGACTATGTTAATAAGACTTTCTTTGCTAAAATGCATATTTGACTTAACATATACCTTAACTGAAGTTGATGAATGACAAAAAAAAAAAAAAAAAAAAAAAAAAAAAAACAGCAAGTAATTGTTGATAATACAAAGTTGAGATGTATGCCAGTTAGTCTCAAAAATATATTGTTACGATTACTTTAATTTAATTAAGAAATACATAGACATTACTAGAAAAACAGCATTTTACGACGCGCAATCAATGACACGCGCTGATAGAAGACACGCATTTGAGCGTGCCCTCAAAATTGATGTCAGTTTTCCAAAATATGAAGCATAGAGGGCACGCATTTTTACGTGCCCTAAAATTAGTGTCTAATAATAAAATAAAATAAAAATCACGGAGGACACCTTAAATAAAATGTGCGTCGTCTAACCATGTCGCTTTATAAATTTTAATGAAACGCGCGTTTTCATCCGAACCTGTAGAATTTTGTCCAAAAAAATTAAAACCCCTTTTCGACCAATCCTCTCTCAGTATCTCCCTTGTTCCCTCTACTGATAACCCTTAGCATCCAAAAAAGAACCCTAAAGCCCCCACACGATAACTAGGGTTTTCTCACGTTAACATTCTCCAGACGATCGAGCTAGAGTACGACTGCAACACTTCATCTCACCGGCCGGCGACCTCATCAGGCTCGCCTCACTTCACCAGCGATTGCGACTCATCAGCGGCATCGTCTCGGAGACTGCGTCCCGACCCTATTTTGGTCGAATCCCTTGCCTCTGATACCTTATTTTCCTCAGATAACTTATTTAGTTGAGGGCGGAGACAGTGAACGAAGTTGAGGGGCAGTGATGTTCGTTGGAGACTCACTTGGGCGAAAGCAATAGGAGTCGTTGATTTGTATGACGTCGTTGGCCGTGCCACAGTCCACCACCAAGATAAGTATCGACGATCCTATCTCCACATTTAAGTTTTTGGTCTACTCCAATTAAAGTAAGTGGTTGATTTTTTTTGCCCAATAAAATCAGTCGGTATTCATAGTTGGTGTATTCTAGTGATTACAATTGCTATATTTATTTATTTGTTGTGCTTTTTACTTTTCGCATTACTAGAGTTGAGATTTTATTGATTTCGTTGCTTCTATTCTTCTTAAATAGGGCAAAAAACCCTCCTCACTCTCGTATTTCCGTTCTTACTTTGAAAACCAAGGGCTAATGAAACCAACGGTCATGAGAGATCAAGTTACAAATTAATGTTGAGTTTTAAATCTGCAGTGATACGATATTGATCGAGGTTTTTCCTTTTTCTTTGATTTGATTTTTTATTATTGCATTTTAGGGTTGAGAGGTAGCTTGTTGAAGAAGGATGTCATGTCGACATCCATTAAACCCCATCTCTAAGCAAATACAATCAATCTGGGTCCCTAAATTACGATGGTAACTAATACAATTTCGCCTATCTTTCATTTTCTCAATTCTCATGCACCCTTACAAAATAGGATTTAATGAATTGCATTATATTTGTATCTTGAATTCATAACTCAATTCACTTTCAAAAGTAATGATGCAATTGAATAAAAAAAAATTATTCCATTTTGACTATGTCCTATTTCTCTGTTTAAACGAAGATATATATTTTGATGTTGATAGTTGCTTCTCTCAACAGTCGATTTATAAGTTTTTATTCAACTTCATATTTGCTTTGGTTTCAATATTGTTGATTGGAAGTACTCATAACATATACCAACGTTGATTTATGATTTTAATTAGTAAATGGGAAAAGGATAACAAATTTTTATATTTTGTTTACCAATGTGTCCAACATAATACTTGTTCTTTAAATAACTATGTGTTAAAGCAACATGCCATTTTTTTTTAAATTTCATGCAATGTGGAATAAATAAAAGTGAACTAGTATATGTATTTATTTTTTATACAGCTTATATAGAACTTCCAATAGTGGCAGGTTTCATATAATGGTTTATTTACTCAGGTCAACAATCTGTTAATGGATCTGCCATATGAGAAAAACAAGACGCTTGCATTTGAAAATTCAAGTAAGTCTATTTTCTTGTCTGTTCTTTGAGATATGTTACAACAGAATATTTGTAACATCCAGATTTTTTCAGGTATTATATAAATTTAATTGTGTTATTTTGTGAGAGGGACTCGGCGAGTTGGGGCTTGAACTCGCCGAGTAGGGACGCAGAACTGATCGGGGGGTGCGGACTTGGACTCGCGAGTCCAGGGTATGGACTCGGCGAGTACTCGCTGTGTATTGGAACCCTAAATCTCCGGGTTGTGGCCTATTTAAAGGGCCTTATGGCCGACTTTTGTGCTCACCCAACCCCCAGAGAGAAACCCTAAAGAGATCTAGAGCGTTTGTGAGGAAGGAGAGGCCAATCTTGAACTTTTGTGGGTGTTGTTGCAAGAAGGAAGTGTTCAAGGCAAGAGG